TGTTTCTGAAGAGGTTCCCCCAAAATGTGCTCTAGGGAGATGAACACATTTCAGCACAGATTTTCGGTCAGAGTACAGAGCTGCTGGGGTGGAGGCATTCTCCCTTGTGTCAACCAAGCCCTCCACAACAGCTCTTCACCTCACCACATCATAGGGTTTCCCAGACCATTAAAACTAATTCTATGAGTGTGCAGCAGGGGAGGAATCTTTAATGTACCACTGCGACAGAGTCTGGAAGAATCTTTTTACCTATAACTAGCTACTTGCAATTAATTCATTTTCCTTACCAGAAGGCCACAATCTGAACTTGGGTGCCTGTGCCACACCCAGCTATTTCAGAGTTAATCACCCTCTTTTGCTCAGTCCATGATCTGCATCTGTCAAACAAAGCCAAAACACAACAGTATTGCTGCTGCTGCTGTTGTTATAACTTAACATTGGGCACTTTTATTCCTTCTGTGGTATAACTCTAACTTCTAAATTTCCTTGGTTATATAGGAATGTGGCCTCACTAAATGGTGGTGAAAAAAAAACATTACATGGCTCAAGCATTGCTTTGTTTTGGACACAACTGTATTGTTGTTGCTGCTGCTGTTGTTATAACTTAACACTGGGCACTTTTATTCCTTCTGTGGTGTAGCTCTAACTTCTAAATTTCCTTGGTTATGCTATAGGAATGTGGCCTCACTAAATGGAGGTGAAAAAAAAATTACATGGCTCAAGCATTGCTTTGTTTTGTGACTTGGGTTGCTGCCTCCCAGTCAGCTGTGGAAGCTGAGGCAACAATGAAGTATATGGCAAAAGAGCACTTTCTACTATCGTCCATCAGCCTATAACATTTAGGTGGAATTGAAAAATAACTAAAAGAAATATATTCCAGTTATTCCAAGAAACTGGAAAGAGTTACATTTTAGAAAGTTTAGCTATGATGGTAACTATTGTATTACCATCATACTGGGGCTTGAACTATAATTACTTTCCAAGTTACTTTCCAAGCTTTGCGCTGACAAAACTGTTTACCGCAACAGAATGAAATCAAAGGATGCAGCCCTGCATGATTTAAGATCAGTTTGCAACAGCACTATAGAAAATATCACCACTGTAATGCAGCATAGGGGTGAATCAAGGTAGAGGAAACAGAGACATCAAATTATCCCTTTCAAAAGACAAATAGAAAAGGGCTACAATGAGCCTATGGACCAAACACTGTGTTTGGTCCATCTGCTTTACAGTATAGGCCCACAAAACAGTGTTCAAAAGTAGTTGTTAAAATGTATTACCTTGTCTGTATGTGCTGGAGAGGAGTATTTATTGCTTGGTTGGGTAATATGATGCTGAGTGGAAATCATGAATAATGTAAAGACTTGGTCATACTTTGGCCAAAATCAGTAGAAGCAAAGTTCTAGCTGACCAATAGGTGCCTCTTATTTCAGTGGATCTACTCTATATAAGCCAGACATCCTGGAGGGTGAAGTCAAGTGGGCCTTAGAAAGCCTGGCTAACAACAAGCCCAGTGGAGGTGATGACATTCTAGTTGAACTATTTAAAATCTTAAAAGATGATGCGGTTAAGGTGCTACATTCAATATGCCAGCAAGTTTGGAAAACTCAACAGTGGCCAGAGGATTGGAAAAGATCAGTCTACATCCCAATCCCAAAGAAAGGCAGTGCCAAAGAATGCTCCAACTAAATTGCACTCATTTCACATGCTAGCAAGGTTATGCTCAAAATCCTACAAGGTAGGCTTCAGCAGTATGTGGACCGAGAACTCCCAGAAGTACAAGCTGGATTCCGAAGAGGCAGAGGAACTAGAGACCAAATTGCTAACATGTGCTGGATTATGGAGAAAGCCAGAGAGTTCCAGAAAAACATCTATTTCTGCTTCATTGACTATGAAAAAGCCTTTGACTGTGTGGATCACAGCAAACTATGGCAAGTCCTTAAAGAAATGGGAGTGCCTGACCACCTTGTCTATCTCCTGAGAAATCTATATGTGGGACAGGAAGCAACAGTTAGAACTGGATATGGAACAACTGATTGGTTCAAAATTGGGAAAGGAGTATGACAAGGCTGTATATTATCTCCCTATTTATTTAACTTATATGCAGAATACATCGTGCGGAAGGCTGGACTGGAGGAATCCCAAGCCGGAATTAAGAATGGTGGAAGAAATATCAACAACCTCCGATATGCAGACGATACCACTCTGATGGCAGAAAGTGAGGAGGAATTAAAGAACCTTGTAATGAGGGTGAAAGACAGGAGTGCAAAAAACGGTCTGAAACTCAACATCAAAAAACTAAGATCATGGCCACTGGTCCCATCACCCCCTGGCAAATTGAAGGGGAAGATATGGAAGCAGTGACAGATTTTACTTTCTTGGGCTCCATGATCACTGCAGATGCTGACCGCCGAAGAATTGATGCCTTTGAATTGTGGTGCTGGAGGAGGCTCTTGAGAGTCCCCTGGACTGCAAGGAGAACAAACCTATCAATTCTAAAGGAAATCAAACCAGAGTGTTCACTGGAAGGACAGATCCTGAAGCTGAGGCTCCAATACTTTGGCCATCTCATGAGAAGAGAAGACTCCTTGGAAAAGACCTTGATGTTAGGAAAGTGTGAAGGCAAGATGAGAAGGGGACAACAGAGGATGAGATGGCTGGACAGTGTCTGCGAAGCAACCAACATGAATTTGACACAACTACAGGAGGCAGTGGAAGATAAGAGGGCCTGGCGTGCTCTGGTCCATGGGGTCACGAAGAGTCGGACACGACTAAACGAACGACCTCTATATAAATCCAGTCTTACAACTGTATGTTTCAAAACAACTATGATGAAGACATAGGGGAACTATCTGCACTAGAGAGAAATGTATATCATATCCTAAGAGCTATTTTCTCTTTCAAGTATGTATAGTGGCTACAAATCAATAAAAACTGATACCAAAAAACCCCACGGCAACAAATTAAGAAAAGTTGTTTAAACTCATGCATGCATACTGAAAAGTTCTTCCCAATTTACACTGGAATCTAACCACTTTTTCAGTTTTAGGGAAGAACCATTTCTTTCAACCAAGCAATAACAGATCAGCAATACAGTTTCCTAAGAGAATGCTTAAGAAGATCTCTCTTTCAATCTCCCTCTCTCCACTCACTGTACAATTTACAGTGGGGAAAAACCACAGCAAGCAGACATTTGCTAACTGGGACCTTGTTAAACAGTTCACTTAACACAGGGAGCAGCACAATGGGAAGAGCAAGCATAAATGCTCCCCTGTACAGAGACTGAAGTACCATCAATTCTCTCATTGAAGGCATTATTTGAGAGTTAGCAGGGAACTGGAATTCTCAAGAAGATCCATTTAAAGGGCAAGGCACTGGAAGAAAGTAGCCTGTGCTTATTATTTCTGAGCAGTAACTTGGAGAAGCACTCCTTTGCTTTCATTTTTTAAAAGTCTAAAATATTTTCACAAATATATAATATGGCATGAGGTAGACTCTCTCTTTCCTAGTGGTGTCAACGTGCACAGCAGATGCTCTTGACACTTCTGCTAAGGCAAATTTCATTTCCAGTGGGTGCTCACTGTTATTATAGTTGACATGGAGCAATAATTTCCAGATACTGAGGTTCAAGAATGGGAGATAAAAAGAGAAAGCAGAATGGCAACTACACAAAGCTACACAACACAAAATATCATATGCCTATCAAGACATCAAGGATTGCACATAAAGAAAGCGAAGATACAAATGTTGTAAGTCTTCAGGAAAAAGAATATCCTCACTATAGATGTCTGGAAATTCCAAATGCATAACAATTGGACACCTGCTGCTCTCTAAACTGATCATCTAGAAAGGCTCCAGATTAGACGATGCACTTTGTTTATATCAAACAGAAACAGCATTAATTGAAGAGTTACAATATATCCTATGTTCCCCAAACCAAACCCAACTTTTCATAAATTGTTTTCATTCGGCATCTTGTCGTATTAAGACACAAGTAATGACTTCAAATTATTAAAATGTTAAAGTTTTGAGGATCAAGTAGAATTAGTAACACCTTCAATGGGCACAGGGTTAAGTAACTTCATTCCATAAATTCATCTATCGATAATTACACTCTCTTATTAATTCAGGTATCTACCTGTAAACATAGATACGTAATGAAGGCTGCGGGATCAATATAACAAAAATGGCATCATATTTTGGAGGGGGGAATTGAAACAGTGACAATCACCATCTTTAAAAGCCAATTACAGGGGGGGAAAACTGGAGGAAAGGTTTAAAGTGTAAGCTTCTCCGTCTATAGGGCTGCACGATCAATCCTTAATCTCAGGTTTAAGCACAAAAGGAAGAGGTGGGGAATGAGATTAAACAAAAGCTGCGTGTCCCTGCTCTTTTTTCCCCCTCTGCCTGTGTAGTCTGAACACACACACACACAAAAAACCCCAAGCGTCTCCACAGGTCTGCCAGCCCATTTTCCCCAACTTGTGTACAAACGTAGCCCACTATGCTCTATTCTTATGGATTTGCTTTGTTCTCCATAAATCTTCCAAGGAGATAGGAGACCGGGCAGAAAAAAAAATTCCCTCTGGCAGGCGGATGCACTCTCCTAAAAGAGTTTCCCATCCCCTCCGTCCATTGTGCGGGTCGTTTTCCAATCTTTCCCCTATTACACATGGGGGGGGATGTGTACAAACGTAGCCCACTATGCTCTATTCTTATGGATTTGCTTTGTTCTCCATAAATCTTCCAAGGAGATAGGAGACCGGGCAGAAAAAAAAATTCCCTCTGGCAGGCGGATGCACTCTCCTAAAAGAGTTTCCCATCCCCTCCGTCCATTGTGCGGGTCGTTTTCCAATCTTTCCCCTATTACACATGGGGGGGGAAGAATC